GTAGCCGTACCATTTATAATGACTCGTGTTTTGACTTTTTTCCCTTCGAATTCCAGGCTGTATATTCCTTTATCTTTGTGGTCTACCTTAGATACTACCAATTTATAAACGACCCCTTGTTGTACAAATTTCACCCTATCATCCTCCAATATTTCCGTTTCATCCTTTTTCCATTTCACGTCCTTTATTTCGCGAGATAAAGTTACCGTTATTTCAAGTGTAGCGCCTTGATCAACTTCTATTACTTGGATTTCCTCAATCTTTTCCGTTGGAATTTCTATTTATTTTATAATACAATATTAGCACACTGCCAAATGATAATCTCTTCATATATGCAAATATATAACGTATATTACCTTTGACCACCACTTCCGTTTTAACTTGTTCGCCCTCGAATTCTAAAGCGTACACACCTTTATCCTCTGGAACCACTTTAGATATCACTAATTTTTGAACTACCCCTTCTGGTTGGAAGGATATTCGATCGTCTTTTAAAATCTCTGTCTCGTCCTTCTTCCAAGTTACTGTATCGACTTTACGGGGCAATGTGACTGCTAAATCTAATCGACTTCCCTCTTCGATTTCTACAATGTTCACCTCTTCCAATTTTTCCACCGGTATTTCTATAATTATAAAATGAATATAGATACGGTTTTAATTTATATTGATGAAATATAGGTAGCCGTACCATTTATAATGACTCGTGTTTTGACTTTTTTCCCTTCGAATTCCAAGCTGTATATTCCTTTATCTTCGTGGTCTACCTTAGATACGACCAATTTATAAACGACCCCTTGTTGTACAAATTTCACCCTATCATCCTCCAATATTTCCGTTTCATCCTTTTTCCATTTCACGTCCTTTATTTCGCGAGATAAAGTTACCGTTATTTCAAGTGTAGCGCCTTGATCAACTTCTATTACTTGGATTTCCTCAATCTTTTCCGTTGGAATTTCTATTTATTTTATAATACAATATTAGCACACTGCCAAATGATAATCTCTTCATATATGCAAATATATAACGTATATTACCTTTGACCACCACTTCCGTTTTAACTTGTTCGCCCTCGAATTCTAAAGCGTACACACCTTTATCCTCTGGAACCACTTTAGATATCACTAATTTTTGAACTACCCCTTCTGGTTGGAAGGATATTCGATCGTCTTTTAAAATCTCTGTCTCGTCCTTCTTCCAAGTTACTGTATCGACTTTACGGGGCAATGTGACTGCTAAATCTAATCGACTTCCCTCTTCGATTTCTACAATGTTCACCTCTTCCAATTTTTCCACCGGTATTTCTATAATTATAAAATGAATATAGATACGGTTTTAATTTATATTGATGAAATATAGGTAGCCGTACCATTTATAATGACTCGTGTTTTGACTTTTTTCCCTTCGAATTCCAAGCTGTATATTCCTTTATCTTCGTGGTCTACCTTAGATACGACCAATTTATAAACGACCCCTTGTTGTACAAATTTCACCCTATCATCCTCCAATATTTCCGTTTCATCCTTTTTCCATTTCACGTCCTTTATTTCGCGAGATAAAGTTACCGTTATTTCAAGTGTAGCGCCTTGATCAACTTCTATTACTTGGATTTCCTCAATCTTTTCCGTTGGAATTTCTATTTATTTTATAATACAATATTAGCACACTGCCAAATGATAATCTCTTCATATATGCAAATATATAACGTATATTACCTTTGACCACCACTTCCGTTTTAACTTGTTCGCCCTCGAATTCTAAAGCGTACACACCTTTATCCTCTGGAACCACTTTAGATATCACTAATTTTTGAACTACCCCTTCTGGTTGGAAGGATATTCGATCGTCTTTTAAAATCTCTGTCTCGTCCTTCTTCCAAGTTACTGTATCGACTTTACGGGGCAATGTGACTGCTAAATCTAATCGACTTCCCTCTTCGATTTCTACAATGTTCACCTCTTCCAATTTTTCCACCGGTATTTCTATAATTATAAAATGAATATAGATACGGTTTTAATTTATATTGATGAAATATAGGTAGCCGTACCATTTATAATGACTCGTGTTTTGACTTTTTTCCCTTCGAATTCCAAGCTGTATATTCCTTTATCTTCGTGGTCTACCTTAGATACGACCAATTTATAAACGACCCCTTGTTGTACAAATTTCACCCTATCATCCTCCAATATTTCCGTTTCATCCTTTTTCCATTTCACGTCCTTTATTTCGCGAGATAAAGTTACCGTTATTTCAAGTGTAGCGCCTTGATCAACTTCTATTACTTGGATTTCCTCAATCTTTTCCGTTGGAATTTCTATTTATTTTATAATACAATATTAGCACACTGCCAAATGATAATCTCTTCATATATGCAAATATATAACGTATATTACCTTTGACCACCACTTCCGTTTTAACTTGTTCGCCCTCGAATTCTAAAGCGTACACACCTTTATCCTCTGGAACCACTTTAGATATCACTAATTTTTGAACTACCCCTTCTGGTTGGAAGGATATTCGATCGTCTTTTAAAATCTCTGTCTCGTCCTTCTTCCAAGTTACTGTATCGACTTTACGGGGCAATGTGACTGCTAAATCTAATCGACTTCCCTCTTCGATTTCTACAATGTTCACCTCTTCCAATTTTTCCACCGGTATTTCTATAATTATAAAATGAATATAGATACGGTTTTAATTTATATTGATGAAATATAGGTAGCCGTACCATTTATAATGACTCGTGTTTTGACTTTTTTCCCTTCGAATTCCAAGCTGTATATTCCTTTATCTTCGTGGTCTACCTTAGATACGACCAATTTATAAACGACCCCTTGTTGTACAAATTTCACCCTATCATCCTCCAATATTTCCGTTTCATCCTTTTTCCATTTCACGTCCTTTATTTCGCGAGATAAAGTTACCGTTATTTCAAGTGTAGCGCCTTGATCAACTTCTATTACTTGGATTTCCTCAATCTTTTCCGTTGGAATTTCTATTTATTTTATAATACAATATTAGCACACTGCCAAATGATAATCTCTTCATATATGCAAATATATAACGTATATTACCTTTAACCACCACTTCCGTTTTAACTTGTTCGCCCTCGAATTCTAAAGCGTACACACCTTTATCCTCTGGAACCACTTTAGATATCACTAATTTTTGAACTACCCCTTCTGGTTGGAAGGATATTCGATC